AAAAAAACCCGTCCGTAGTAACAATGAACGTGTCATAATGACTAAAATTAATTTCAGAGATGCGTTCGTCGTATTTTTATTATATTGTTGTGCTCTTATAGGCATTATGATAATCTACAGAAATACAGATGTTGTATACGCTATTATTAAAGCTGGGTCGACTCAGCCTCTAACAGAAATGAGTACCAGGAATTAAATAAATAATTTTCCTGGGGAGTAAAGCGCGGCCGGCGCGTACGGCTGACAACCTTTCCGCCATCTTTGAGCCAATTGTCTAGATAGTGTGGGACCCTCAACGTCTCACAGCCCTATGGGCCTTCATGGCCTGGTACAAGGATAGCTTTACTTTTACTTTAATTTTACAGTAGTCAATGGATCCAATTTATGGAGAGGATGATTATGATAGTATCCGCTATGTTGGCTGGGACATTTACAGATCAACAAAGAGATTGTCTGACCAAATTAAAAAATACAGAGTAAGCTGAAGTACAGTGCATACACGAAGGCACCTAATTCCATAGATTCTGTGAAAGGGTATCTGTAGATACTCTTGAAAAGGAAAGGCATACCACTGCATACAGTGAAACAATGAGCCGTGATTAAGACAATGAAGTTTGTATTCCTCTACAGGCAGTCCTTGTACATATGAGATCAATAAATAATGAAGGTATGCTCTCATTTAACCTCGGCTTTCTTAATGAAGTAATGCTGGAAGGAACGAGGTAATTACTTGGATCCGTGATCGCTTTTGAGCCTATGTTGTCTATAGAATGATAACAAAGTGGTAGAAAGAAGGTATGCTTCACAATTAACATGCCCAGCATGAAATAAAACTCTGTATATACATTTTAAGACAAGAACGAAGCACGCCCACATAGAAAAATAATTTTAAAAAGTCTATTACTAACATCAAACTCAATTATAAAACAAGAGTGAAAATATATACAAAACTACACAATTTTGTCTAAATGGGTTCTTTCATAATTTACATCTCTGTATCTTTCTGATGTCCTTTTACCAGACATACGAATGAATTTATTCGTTTTGTTTTGTCTTTTCAGTGCTAAAATTCGTCGTATAGAACGACATACATGTCTATTGTTAACAAAGCTAATTATGAATAGTGAACTACATTATATTTCTTGCCTTTGGGTAATTACACGCAATGTAAAAAAACATTTTAAAGCAAGATGCAGGTACAAAGTGATACCGGAAAGTTCCCGGACTGTTATTCTTGTAGCTACCTCGATGAAAGAAGATGAGAGGGGAGGCCAAGGTCACACTTCCGAAAGCCTATTGCATCGGTCTGCAACGTGACACCGCGCTGTGAACAAGCATTGATTTTACGCAAGTGCTTTTTCGAATTCCTGTTTCGTTTTGTCTGCGATGGATGGCAAATTCGAGCAACATGTCAGCATCAATTTTTCCGTGAAGCTCGGTAAATACTTTACCTAAAGCACTGAAATACTTCGTGAGGCTTTTGGAGAATATTCTTTAAGCCGGAGAGCAGTTTTTGAATGGCATTCACCTTTCAAGGCCGTTCGAGTGTCAGTTGAAGATGAGGAGAGTTCAGGATGACCAAGCACCAGCAAAACGATAGAAAATGTTGGATAAAATTTCCAGAACTCATCCACGAAGACTGCCACCAAATAATCCATGAACTCGAAAACACCGTTGGGATCAGTTACGGAGCTTGCACGTTCTTCAGAAAATTTTATCATGCGCCGCATTGCTCATTCATCACGACAACGCTCCCGCCCACACATCCCTGAAAACCACAGAGTTTGTGACTAACAACAACATGGTTATCGCTCCCCATCCTCCCTACTCGCCGGACTTAGCCCCCTGTGATTTCGCTTTGTTTCCCAAATTGAAAATTAATTGGAAGGGACGACGTTTCGAAACAGTGTCTGACACCCAAAGGGAATCACAAGCGGTACTCGACAGCATTAAGGAAAATGGCTTCCCACGGTGTTTTTGAAGCGTAAAAAAGACGACAGGATCGCTGTATGCGTTCCAAAGTAGACTGTTTTGAAGGAGATGGAAGCGAAAATTGAGTAAGTTAAGCCAAATTAACGGGAACTTTCCGACACACCTCTTATTAATGTCATTATGATTTATGACTTTAAATAAAATACATGATTCATCTATTTTGTACATGACAAAACAGATAATATTCAATTTTAATTTTTGATAAAATATTACTTATACTGGAGCGAAAATTTTTATTTAAATGTCTAAGCAAGATTCAATTAAGCCTTACCAGTTAATATACATACTCGTACTATGATATTGCAGTTATTTTAATATTTGATTTCATAATGTTGTATTTTAGCGTCCTGTCGCACTGATTTTCATCCATGATATGTATACAGTGGCCGTCTTGTAGTGCACTCAACTTCACCTGTTACTTCACGACATGTTTCGGCAACATAGTGCCATCATCAGGTGCCCTAATTACGCTAATCCATTGCACTGCTTGCCTTTATAAAATTATTTAAATAGTGTTTAAAAAGTGCGTATTTGTCAACTATAATAAATTTACACAAACTAAAACTTGTTAAGATTATTCAACTTATGCGTCTTAATTAAAACTTGCGTGTGGTTCATTCACTATGGGGCCGTTTTTCTTATTTTCTGTGTAAACCGGGTCAGAAACCCTAACACTTCATTGTTCACAAATATTCGATTATTTAACCTGTAATTTGTTTAATTACCTTGAAAGAATATTGTCAAAAAAGTAAATACAAACATAACCCATGTATAAAGACTTAGAGAACTAAAAGTGGTTACGTATAGAAGTGGCTCATTTTTGACAGTAAAATAAAAACACTGTGAAACACGAAATATTGTATTTCTAATGCGTTACATCAGAACGGTCTCAGGTTGCATAAGGAGGGATGATAATCTTAATGAGCAGGGCTATATTCAAGAAGACCTGGAAACAACAGATATGCCTTCCAACACAATAACAAACGAGCAACCAAAACACGTGCCTCGAAACCATATGTGAAAGCTGTAACATTAATGTAAATGAAGCTAAATGGCAAGACATTCCATGGATATCAGACAGAATTATGAAGGGGCCAAGTTTAATTTTTGATTCGTTATGGCGACGATGATGATAATGACGAAACAACATTTATGATTACGATATCCATCTTTCGACTAAATAATTTTTTGTATTATCCAGGATTCTGCCTGAATGACTACGTACTCGTAGATATCGTTCCCCTTGAACACACTAATGATTTTACAATAAAAACTTTTCAGAAACCAAAAGCGTTGGCGTCAGAATTACATCTTGTTCGATAATAATATAGTCTATCAATGTTCGAAAAATTGCATTACTTCATATTTTATTCCAAAGAACAGCTATGATATTTCCAAATTTATGTGACAGAAACAAAAGGAAGGAGACTCCGGTGAGAAGAAATTTATGTCATATGATACAACAGCGACAAGCAGACATACGCCTCATCAATATTCACTAAATTCCTATTGTTTAAAATTAGATTATTAACTTTTCAGATCAAAAAATATCATATTTTCGTAGCGCAATGTAATTCAACGTCAAAATTTCTGCCTTAGAAAATGTGTATGATAAAGTACTCATATTTCGAATAGGCGCCTTATTTTGGATAGCGTGGTTTCTTGGAAAATAGGGGCAGCACCGTTGTGGTAGCCACTGAACTTTGCACCTCATACCTGACCAATTTCTCAGCAGCGGTAGATCTGACGTTGAAGCAGCTGTGTTGCTTTACCGTCAGTGTGTATATTTCTGCCAATTCGTACGTAAAGTTTTCGCTTACAGAGCTAAGGTTTCGAAATCATAGGTGAATTTTATATTGGACGTTATTTACATGAACTTCATTATAACATGCGTCTCATGTGTTTCTACCTCTTCCAAAAGCTTAAATTCTCCATTATGAAGCCATGTTCAGATTAGTAGTGGGTTACATAATTTCTGATGCGTAACATACCCAGTTGCGACTTTCGAGCATCTGAAATTAATAAACTTATTTTAAAAAGTCTTGGTGTTTCATTCAGTCTTAGGCAGCTGTTACTAAAAGAGAGGAAAGGGCCATAGTCTCCACAATAAATGCATTGCAGACTGAAAAATGCAAGAAAATTGATTTCCTGAAATGTCTGCTTGTGAAAGCATTGCAGTCGAATTTGAATTACGGCTCNTCGAACATTATTCTGTATAAGAGAACAAGGACGTAACTTCATGTTAACTTCTGTTGAAAACTATGTGATTATTTTTCACATATTCCTGTAATATCCTTCAAATATGACCGTTTCTTCTCCATAAAAAAAATAAGAATTCTGTATGTACTGTTTACCTATGTTTCTCTTGTTCTTATCAATTTAATTACGGCCCTTTTTATGAATTACATTTCTTAAAAAATGTTACTTATCCGAAATAAGGAAGCGCCTCTATCCGAAACTCTCTCGGACTTTTCCTTCATAACTTTCCGTATTTTATTTAGTACCTGAATATAAGCTGCACTTGAGAACATAAGAAGTACTAGCTGTCATGCTAGACGTATTAAGAAGCTATCTGAACGCAACAAAATATGAATACTGATATATTGGGATTTTGGACTTTATCCATCGTCCTGGTTTTTAAGATAACTAATAAAAACACGACGTTTCGGAAACAGATCCAGTTTCCGAAACGTCGTGCTTTCATTAGTTATCTTAAAAACCAGGACGATGGATAAAGTCCAAAATCCCAATATATCAGTATTGATACTTTGTTGCGTTCAGATAGCTTCTTNTCAATAGTTCACGATTCTATTAATAAGAAAATGTTCCTATAATAAGCACTCGAAATATGGTGCCCTTAACCTGCTATAGAGTTCGTGCTATTCAGGAAATGAATTTCATAAGCTAGGCTACTGGAGCTCACAAACAATATTAACAGTCGGCCAAAACACAACATGGAATTCCTTATATTGCAATCTCACATTTTTGATAGTTGTGTTTGCACTTACCAACTAACTTCACGCTAAATAGCGTCAAGACGCAAGTCCAAATCTGCGTCATCTTGTAATAAATGTGCACAAGATATCTTTCCTCTGTGGTTCATGCGTCACATCCGGTAGCGACCAAATTCGTTAGGCCATTGCCTGAAACAATAGAAATATATTAATTTTACACACATTTTCAGACGTCACAAATACACGTATATCTTATTTAAGGGTAATTCAACATAAACCTATTCGAGAGCTATAAAGGCATAGAAAGCCCCCCCCCAGCCATAATCACTGATACTAGCAATCAGATTAGCAACTATGAGCAGGTTAGTGCCCCCAAAAAACTACATATTGCCAATCGCTTGTTTCTTCCTAGAGTTCAGAGTCCGTCAGATACCGACGTTCTTTTATTGCCTTGCTTAGATATCCGAAGACATGGAACTGGAGGTTTAGGCGGTCCACATCTCCGGACAGTATGATGGATGTCCATCATATACGAAATACTCTCCGAAATTACCTATGGGCAGTTTTCTACTGAACCCCTCTTATAACTCATATGAGACGCCGAATAAAACATGGCAGGAAGGCGACTGGTTAATCTAAGAACGTGTGAACTTCACCAAATTTTGTCGCAAGGGTAGGTCAGGAAGCATGTAGAGGCTAACGCAGGATAACAGATCTCTAAATAATTCTAAATATGCAGATATTGGAAACAGATATTGGTCGATATGAAAATAAATGTAATGATTGTAGCAGTATATGTCAGATACCTCCAGTATTGTTACATAATTGCAGTGAAGAAAATCGAAGAAAGGTAAACAATTACAATGAGGAAGTTCAAAATCTGAACTTTCAAATAACATTTCCAACAGAGAGGAGTTTAAGAATAATTGAATATTCACAGGACATGCCGCATGCATACAAAGAAATAATGGCAAAGAAGTACAAGAACCACACTACTAGTTTATCCAATTTTTTTCAGAAGTTTATAATGACAGCCCTTAAGGTGTAACTGAATTACATGTAGATGGCCCCTTGCTGAGCCAATTGTGCAGCTACTCAAGAACTTCCCATTTCACGGAATCCAGAGCTTCATTACCGTGTTCACAAGAACCCTCCACACCTCCCTATCCTGAGCCAGATCGATCCATTCAATACCACTCAATCCAATTTCTCTAAGATCCATTTTAATATTATCCAACTATCTATATCCTGGTCTTCCCAGTGGTCTCTTTCCTTCTGGCTTCCTCACCGATATCCTATATGCATTCCTCTTCTCCCTCATTCGTGCTACATGACCTGCCCACTTCATCCTCCTATTTGATCATTCTAATTATACTTGGAGAAGAGTACAAGTTATGAAGCTCCTCATTATGCAGTTTTCTCCAACCTCCTGTCACTTCATCTCTCTTCGGTCCAAATAGACTCCTCAGCACCCTGTTCTCAAACACCCTCAGTCTGTGTTCCTCTCTTCATGTCAGGCTTCATACCCATTCTGAACCACAGACAAAATTATAATTTTGTATATTCTAATTTTTATATTTGTAAACAGCAGACGAGAAGACAAAAGTTCTGGACTGAATGATAGCAAGCATTACCCGAATTCAATATCCTATTCTTTTTCCCACGAATCAAACTTTGATTTCTTGCTGTCGTTACAAACATTTTAACTGTGTCACATTTTCAAAGGATAATTTAGCTATCTTTGTGTCATGATTGTGTCCTGCATTTTGGTGACGAGACTGCAACTTATACTTCTAGACAACTCCTTACCAGTATCCATTAAAGTTTTTTTTCTTTCTTTTCTTTTTGGTATCTAGTATGTTATTTCCAGTAGATTCACATCACCACCACAGATCATCAGCTGGTGTGTCCCGCTTAATTTCAGCCCCACTTGGTTCTCCTAGACCTTCTTAATGCCATATGTCACTCATGGAGCGGAGCCCTTCTTAGAAGCTGTCAATTGTGCACGTACTCAAGAAATTTCAAAGATTTTATGGAACCCGAAGGTTCATTATCGTGTTCACAAGGGCCCTTCACTGGTCCCTATCCTGAGCCAGATCAAACCACTTCATACCATCCCATCCTATCTCTCTAAATTCCATTTTAATATTGTCCATCCACCTACGTCTTGGTCTTCCAAGTGGTCTCCTTCCGTCTGCCTTTCCCACCAATATCCCGTATATATTCCCCTCTCCCATAAGTCTCTATATGCCCTGCCCATCTCATTCTCCTTGAGTTGATCATTTTAATTATATTTGCAAAAGAGTAAAAATTATGAAGCTCCTCATTATGCAGTTTTCTCCAACCTTCTGTCACTTCATCTCTTTTCGGTCAAAATACTCTCCTCAGCACCCTGTGCCCAAACACCCTCAGTCTATGTTCCTCCCTTAATATCACAGACCAAGTCTCACACCCATACAGAACCACAGGCAAGATTATAGTTTTGTGTATTCTATTGTTTACGTTTTTAGAGAGCAGACAAAAGGCTGTGGGCTGAATGGCAGCAAGCATTACCCGAGTTCATCTTAATGGCCTATACTAAAGCAAAGTTCAAAAGCAGTATCGATAAAGCATCTCCTTGTTTTGGTACTAACGACTCAGCTGTATGTATTTCTATCTGCCAGCATTACTGACCCAATATACTCGTACATTCAATATCTGAGAGAAGTAGTTCTTCCATCTATTCAAAATTTCCTAGGAATCGGTAAGGTGATCGCCATTCTCATCTTTCGCTGACTTACTTCAGACTGGTAAACTCCCTTGAATTCATTTATTCTTCTATACAGCGGGCTAATATTCTTGTTCTTACTGCATGTTGCGAGTTTATTCATTTCTTCTTTCAGGTATTCTTTCTTTTATACTTGAAATGCCTGCCGGCTGAAAATGTTATATTGTTCATGATATTCCCATTCATTCGGCTTGGATCCGTAATCATTGCAGTGTGACTGGTTTCCTTTGATCTAATAATTTTAAGCATCCTCCGTCGATCCATGACTTATGCTTCTTCAGTTCATAATAACATAGACTCTCCTTGGCTAAAACTATGACATTATCTCTAATAGTTTCTCAAGCTCTATTAATATCCAACTTAGCGTCAATTTTTTTTCGAATTTGCGAACTTATTTGAGATTTAAATACGAACTACTCTTTACACTCTACCTCGTTTAATGTCTTGAGTTTAAACCTATGAGTGTTGCTTGTTTACTCACTCCTACTCCCAGCCTAACTTTTGCCACCACCAGATAGTGGTCAGCATCACACATCTGCCCTCACGAACGGTCGGGCCTGAAGAACATTTGAATGTTGTCTACTATATATCAAAATATGGCAATTTGATTGTGAACCTTAGCATCATGAAATATAAATGTATTAATCTAACGATGTGGGAACATTGTACTTTTGAGAGTCAGATTTTCGGATGGGGGAAATCTTACTACTCTATATCCATTATGATTTCTAATTTCGTATAGCTCTCGTGCATCTGTACTTAATCATCTTCGGTTGCCATCTCAAGAGACTCCTACAATTCTGATTCTGCTGGCCTCCGATCGTCGCTATATAGCCTCGGGTAGGATCCAGCAGAAAACACAGTTTCCATCATTATAGCCCAACAATACTTTGATTGTTGCTCAAGTAATTGTTTTCCCGCGGGAACCTGTTTATAGAGTCGTTGCCTAGCAGTAGACATCTACTATTATGCCGCTATTCCGGCTTTCATTTTTCATGTCATAATATAATCAATTTTATCCTATGTTGAGACAGGAACATTCAGAATATCAGACCACTGACCTCTTGCTATTATGCATGACATTGTAACACTAACGAACTCTACCCTCGTAACTGCTGATATGATTCTAGTATGTACGAAAAACTGTACCTAATTCATGATCTTCATTCTCCTTTCCGTAGACAAATGTATATTCTCCTGCTGGCTTGGTGTCACCTCCGTCCCATTTGACCTCCTGTACTCCCGCTAAATCTAACTTATATTTTGGTACTTCTTCCGCCACTGCCCTGAGCTAATCTATACAGACTTCCTAGATCCCACGTAGCAAATCTGATGGCCACATTCCTCTGTCTACGCCGATTATACAAAAAAAATCCTTCGAAGTCCGAGGCTCTTCGTGACATTTCGTAACAGGCTTATTATTTTACAGTGTGCTATTATCTCTAGACGCGACTTTTCAGCTGGAGGACCACCACTTTTCGGCTGTCCGGGACTGCTTATTCAATATATTCACAGCCAGCCTCCATATCTGGAGGCCGTCTCCTTCGTCCGCAGCCTGAGGACACGCCATGCCGTGGTGACAAAGGCTCCACTTAACATGGGCTTAAGCTCTAAACAGATGGAAATTCTGACAATTTGCTGATGATTACCATTGTGACTGTAATTTTCCATATACTCGTTGTATGAGATATCGAAAACTTGGTGAAACTCGTGTAGGTTTATTAAGAGGCAGTAAATAATTTTTGTTCTGTAAACATAAGCCACGTTGCATTACTGACCGGTTAACTGAAAAGGTATCGAACTTCAGGAAGTTACAAGAACAGACAGATCAGCAGTACTGGTCTTCGGCAACAGATTAAGTGTAGGATGTGTTCTGACGGCAGTATACGAGATATCAGATATCTAAAGTGAGGCTACAGGGTTGCAAAATGTTGCCTCTCAAATCCTCAATCGATCCTCGAAACTTGCATCAAGACCTAGAAGTTCAATTTAAGAAGAGCATTGTCTCGTGTTAAACATCTCGCTCTTTGTTAGCATCTCTTTAACACTACACAAGCAAATACAAATGCAGCCGGTCACAGTGGCTGCGCTGTCTAAGGCATGAACCGTCTTCGCCGGCTCGAACGCTTGTGTAGTGGGTTCGAATCCCACTTAAGGCATGGATATGTGTATAGGTAACGGCCTTGCGACGGACTGATCCCCGTCCAAGGAGTCCTACCGACTTTGTATATAATTAAGGAACTTACATGCATGTAATGTCCAAAGGGGCTGTAGAGTCATTGAGACAGAGAGAGAGATACTAGTGCTTATAGTTTGTGTAATAACTGGCAACATGGATAAGTTTTCTTATGATTCAGACTTTTCGTATCAAACAGGTTGAAATCCAATTTTTTATTTATCTTTCGATGCTGAGTCTTA